TGAAAAAAGACGTATTCGAAAAAACCGTGAATAAAACACCACCCTGCAAGCGGGTCAGGACGAGCCGGGACCATTTTCGGGTAAACCAAGCAATGACCTTTCTTAAGTAGGTATTTTATTATAATCTGTGTTCAATTTCAAAGCGATTGATCTCGAGATACATTATAGTATGGCGTTACGCCCAAAAATGCGTTTTCAAAAGAAATAAACAGAGTATAAAAAAAAACAGAACGACACTTATTGTAAAACCAATAGACCAGCCCCAGCCACTCCTCTACATTCCGATCTGATATAATATGTTTTCAACCCATAAAGGTCAAAACGATACACTTATACATTAAATAAGAAAAATAATACAAACAATCATTTGTTGTCTTCGTACAGTCGGTACCTACATAATATTGTATCATTTGACATTAAAATAATTTATGAGAAAGGGAACAGCATATTTATTTTAAAAATATTTTCGATCTTCTCTTTTTCGAGAAAGAGCCATTCGTCCTTGGTATCCATTGGCAATTATATTCACGATTTAAGATTTACAAACTCAACGACCCTATGCACATACACATCAAAAGTGATGCGCTTAAATGTTGGGTTTAAACAGCTGATCAACTATGCGAGAATAATTACTAGCACTCTAATACATAGTATTGTATATCTATATTGATATATTTTGTAGTACCAAGAGAAATCACTATAATGTATAAGCGCTAACTGTTATTCTTGCTATGACAGGATCGTTAATTTTAAGAGCACCAAAAAATAAGTTTCGTTGAGTGACCTGTATATCTTTAATCGTGTGTATATTAATAGGACCGTAATATTTCATTTTTATCAAGCAGATAATGGTGATGGAATAGAACTTACAATTTATATAAAATAATTATAGTTTATGTATTATACATTTCCTTAAATATAATAAAATAAATGCATTAAAAATACAAAAATGTAATCGACTGATGAAATAGTTAAATGAATTTTGAGTGCATGGAAATATTGATAATTAAAAAGTTAATTTCGTGAATTAAAAATACTTTGACTTCGATAGTTAAGAAACTATAACAATAAAATCAAAAAAAAATTCAATTAAAATCACAACAATCCCGAAATATCAAACAAAAAAACCAAAATAATATGTAAAAAGTCTCAAAAATCTAGAAAATAAAGAACAGAGTTATAAAAATCACAATTTAAATGTCTCTTTTTTTGTATTTTATGTAACCTAATCCAACCTATAATAACACATTTTTAACCTTTTCTGTTTCATTTCTTGTAATTTCGTTAAATGTATGCAAACGCTTGCTCCATTAGTAGTTAGGGAATTGGCAGGATTGTGGGAATAAATGAAAAACTCATCAATCTGTCTCCACTCTTCAGTACCTAAATTATGCATATTATAATACGACTATGTTAATAATATTATTTAATTCATTAGTTCTTGTAACGATGTTGTGAATGTATTTGAATATTCGTCCTAAAATATCCATCTTCATATCAAACCAAATATTTTATAAAATCCATTGATTCGTCTGTGTTGTGTAAAAACAAGATTTCGTTTTGAGATCAGCTATATTTACTGCAGGGTGAAGTAAAATTGGGTTGCGTTTATTTTTGAAAGTTCCTAATATAAGATAAACTGGCCGCGTATATTATATTGTTATCGTACTCCACCTACCAAAACAGATGTTGATGTCTGCACGCCCCTGCAGTGCCCAGTGTTGTACGCAGCGTATTTTTCGAATACGGGCAAAATCTGAAACGACTTTTTATCGACGGCCACGATGATGGGAAAAAAACAAAATGTCAGAAAACGTTTTGGGTGTTTTATGAAAAAACATATGCGGGTGCAGTGTATATTTCATAGTCACAGCGTGTGCAGTGACACCTATATATATATATATATATTATGTATTTAGGTGCATACACGTCGGGATCGGATATCGAGTGAATGCTCTCTCATTTGTTCGCAGACGTATTCGTACGATATTGAACAATTTGACTAATGTACGTGCGCGTTCACGGAAGGAAAAAAGCTTGAAACAAAAAAATGGGATGAAACATGTGGCATTTATTACACCGTTCTCCGTCGTCCAATAAAGGCTTCTCACGAAATTATCTAAACGCACGTAACACCATGATAATCGAACGAAACCTCCCCCTCGTGGCCGCGTCACACGTGCGCGGTGTTTGTTCGCGTTTTGTTCCGTTTTTACAAAAAAAAAAATAATTCAGACTTTATCTACACAAAGGGTGATTTTTTGAGCATGATCCTCTCCCCCCCCCAATTTGTACGTTATCGTATCCATAATATGTGTCTGAGTATATTCAATTATTCGAATCCTGATTTTTGACAGTGTTATACTGATAATATAATATAGGTAGGTAATAGGTATATCAGTTTATGTACTAATATTGCAGTAGACCATATTATTCTCAAATATGCTTACAGAATTTGTAGATTGTCTGTCACAGATCCACGATACAAACAACGAATAGGTTTTTTTTTAAACGAGAACATTTTTCCTTCTGGCTTCTTCTGTGATTTGTTATAAGTTGACGAATTTTCGAGGAGTCACTGGTTTCAAAAAAAGGTGGTATCGCCACAGGATGGAATGCTGTCTTTTTAGCTCGTTTATCGCATTTGAATATGCATATAGAAATGAGATAAACGCCCTAAAAAGATCCCTCTGTATGCTCGTATTGATATATCTCTATATATAAAAATGGACCCTAATCCATTATTCAGTTATTCAGTTTTTGTATCAATAATACAACGTACCTCTATTATATAATAATATATTAAATTAGGCCAGTCGAATATTTTATACGTTGAACCTGTCGAAGGGATTTTAAGCTGATGTATAAACGAAAACTATTTTCCAAAATACGTCCACCATTGTATACGATCAACAAACGAAATAACAACCACCTAGTGTGATAATCCCGGATACGAGTTCCCGGTCGGTTGGACAACACTGCTGCAGGTCCTGTGCTCTTTATTTTATTATTTTTTACACAACTATAGGTAACTGAATGTTTTCACAGACTCCGGAGGTCGACTTAAACCTAAAAAATATACGGTTGTCGTTCAAGTAGAATCTTATTAGGTAATGTCGTAATGGTGTATGCATAACACAGTGATGCTTTTAACACGGAACATTATATTAGTTTCGTAAATTTTTTAAACGAAAAAATAAAAATCATAATTATTTTTATTTAATTTGTCTTGCAAATAGTATTTAACAATTTTTGTTGTTTTTTTTTTTTAATTTTCATCAGCAGTTTATTAAATTGTATTCTGTTGTTTAAAAACAGTCAACATTTTTACTAACACATCGATGTAGGTATACAAATAACGAATATATTGCACTAACAATTTTATGTCTTGTAAAAACATTTAAAGTTTAGACGAGTGCCGAAGTGAAGTGTAAGTGCTGCACGATATCGCACGATATTACCTGCTGTCACCTCATACCTAACTCTCGACTAAACTTTAAATGCATAAAAAAAATGCTGCTTCAATATTTGATAATCATATTCATCGACGTTTCCATAAAAATACTTCGTTTCGGAATATAAAATTAAAAATATCAACCATCACTCATCACAGAAATATGTATATACTTATATATATTCTATATGATAAATAACCTAATAACTATACCGAATAAGGCAATAATCACTATAAAAAAAAATAATCCAAGTTAGATTTTTTTATTTTGATTGTGATAACGAGGGTTATCTTACAGTTCTCTTAGTGTTTTCTATAGACCTCTTACTGTATAGGTACGTATTTAAATATATAATATAAAATCGATAAATTTAATATTAAAATTGGAAATAAAAATAGAATTATTTTAACTAATGTAATATTAAATTGGGTGAATTATAATTTTAAAAGGTAAGTTAGTTGCTGGTTAAAAAATAAATAACAGAAAAATTTAGTTAATTTAACTGAGTGAATTGTTTTTATAGAAATATCTGTTTTTTGCTTAAAGTAAAGACGTTATTTGATGTCTTAGATTTTTGTGTTCAACATTTTCATCAAACTCATTTCGTGTAACATTAAAAATATATTGCATTGTTTTATGAAGTTACATACCACGCTATAAGTAGAACCTAACTACGAGTGTCAACCTAACTTATATAATATAAGGACATATTATAGTACTCACTACTCATAATATCGTACCAGAAACCAACTGCGATACAATATTCGTGGGCCTAGAATGAAAAGGTTTTAAATCGTTTTTATGAAATTGTCCAGGAGAGCAATTATAAGGTTTAAGTTTAAAAATTTTACTCCTTGAACAAATTTTTTTGAAAATTAAAGTTAACGCATGCAGCAAATTGTATAGTTTAACTCAAAACATTATTATAATAATTTGTATTGGTTGGTATACAAATTCATAAAATACAAATTATAAAATGTTTGGTATGAAAATGTTCTGCAATATTAGAGCCTTTTTATCCTAAAATAAAAAAAATACATTTAATTAGAACTTTTTCATTCTTATTTATTATTTTTATTATTGTTAGCTGAATCCTTTTCAGAATAATGCTTTCTCATTGCTACCAATATTCTAACACGAAACAATGTAACAGTTATGAAACATTAAAATCTGTATGTCGATCGTAAAATTCTGTTGAATATGGATTAATGTAATAATTATTAGGTACTATTGGTAGTGATTAATTTAATTAGAATCATTTGATACTAACGTATTGTTAATAATTTGATTCGATTAACTGAGCGTTTGCAATTTGATTAAATTGTGTTTATAATTTAATTTTTAGAGATTTAGAACCTTTTACTTTTAAAAAATCGTCAAAAATGATCGTATAATCATAAATGTTAGCTTAAAATGTGTGGCTTTGCATTCTAAAATCAAAAAGTGACTTTTGAAAAAATGTAAAACCTTTTTATTCTAGACTCATGTATAATATTTAAATAGATATTGCGAATAATAATATAATATGCTTTAGTCTGCCTTTACCTTGATGAATCTGGGGAACCGGAGTATGGGGTGCACGCCGATCTTTAGCTGTATCAGATCCAGTGGCGTGAGTGCTATGAGATCGAACATGAACGAACGAGACCGAATGTAGTGGCCGGCCAGCTTGCTGGTATTGTACACCATCAGGCCCTGTTCCAGGTATCCGGTGCGGAACTGGACGGCCACGTCCAGCAGGAACACGATGTCGCTGAACGCGTCCATGGCCGACCACCACGGGGAGGCCATGCTCTGCAGCTCGGGCAGGCTCTGCCGGACGATGGCCGTCCACAGGTTGTACAGCGTGCAGCCCGTCAACACCATTAGCCAGTTGAAGTAGAAGTTCTCGTCCGGGTTGACCACAGACCACGGGAGCTTGTTCTGCTTCCGGCGCAACCGGCGTTTCCGGCGCACGTACTCGATGTTGTCCTGCGATCCGGAACTGCATTCGCCGTCATCGCCGGTGTCCAACGTCTCCTGAAAAATCCAAACGCACAACGCAATCAATAACAGCAACGACTGAGGTGATCATCACGGTCAAGCACCTGTTATCTTAGTATATAGTTATATCATAGGCGCAAATAGCGTTTGGGATTTGGGGGGGGGGGGCTAAAGCCTTACTTTTTTTAATATATTGAATAACCTTAAAACAAAATGTAGGAAATGTTTGGGGGGCTTAGACCCTAAACCTCCCCTAATGCGCCTATGAGTTATATACTTATATAGTTACATTATTATATATTATATCGTTGTCCAATCGATAAAGGGTGACGTCATAATCGTCCAGCACGTCATCGGCGGGCTTGAAATGTTTAGGTGCAACGTATATTACACCAATTGCAGTAATTTACAATATAATGATATATAAGAGAAGACTACTCTGAAATTTGGAGATTTAAATATTTTCCCAATTGGCTTATATGTTATATACACGAAATACGTAATTGCTCGGATATTATATTAAAAAGTAAATTCATTCAGGAGCGATGTTAAAATATTTTTAATAAGAAACATAAGCTTAAAAATTATTACCAAAACACGTTCTAAAATTATAGACTCATTTTTTCTTCTGTAAAAGCCGGTGTAGATAAAGCATTTGGGTTTTGGATTATTCTTATTCTATTATATATTTTTTTTTTTATATATTATTTTTTTTGCTCGAGATATTTATATTATAATATAATTTACAATATTACGGAAAACTAAATGAGACGCCATTTATTTGAAGTAAACGTTTTCGTAAAAATAAGTTTTGGATTATTAATAATTTATTCCCAACACAATAGGTAGGTATAATATTAAGTTTTAGTAATTTAGTTAGAATAAAAATACCGTTGAAACAAATTTAAATTGCGTTATTATTAATATTATTTTGAATGTTCTTACGACGCAACAACAACAGTAACAAATTTTATTTTCCAAAGGCTTTTTTCAAATTATTTTTTATCTTGCTGTTTACCTTTCATATGGTGAAATATTACATTTTTTATTTATTTATTTTTTCCATCCGGTTTTCATTTGAAGCGCGCCTAAACCAATACAGTTTATACACTTTTGTACATAAAAACAATAACATCAATAATTAAATGCCTAGGTAATATATTTTTTTAATATACATTTATTTGTTTACAAGCATAGTAAAAAATATCCATAATTAATAAACTCGTCGGAATGTCCAACGTTTTGAAGAGAAAGTGTCTGACGTCTATAGTTGTTTTGTGTTTTACCTTTTTTAGGGTGTTATCCGTAATAAACCCTACCAACAATACAAACGCTTATGATATTATGATAAACAATAACTATATTGTTAACTATTGTTCCAATTGTATAAATAAATTTAAGTACCTAGTCTTAAATAATATATAATATTCAAATATACAATTCAATATAATAATATTACAATGTACAATAAAATATTATGTAACCGTTATTATAATATCAGTATATAATATTGTTAAGTACTATCTGATGAATTTAAATTTAGGTACACAATTAAATGTTTAATTTAATGAGATACCTACTTATATACTTATTTGAAGAGGATTCTGAAACAGCTTACAATTTAACACGTGGTACTATATGTACTATATGTGCGTATTGAAATTGAAATACATTTGGTGAAGTATGAGATCTCCTGAAGTACTTGAGTACATACAGACAGAAAAACCAATTAAAAGGCGCTAACCAAACAGAGATGCGGAAATTCTTCATCAAAGTAAATTAAAAGTAATGCCACCCGTGAGATCATCGTCCGTATATCATCTAGTGTTAAGCCTCGACGAAAATGACTGAAAAATGTTCAAAAATAAAGGTGTAAGGTATTTAATAATTACGAGTTTTAACAGTCACTTGAATTGAGCGTGTTTGCATGTAAAAGTACTTTTTAAGGCGATATAGCTAATGATGCAGCGAGCGTTAATCGTGCCATTAAAAATTTGTCGAGGTTTTTCAACGAAATGCCATAACATTTATGCTCATATGGTATTTAAAATTTAACAATATGACGTGAGATAAGTATGATCTGTGTGCTTGTAACAGTAATTACCTCAATAATAATTAATAGAGCCACTCGTGTGCATAGTGCATCAGATCTCAACATTTTTTGGGATGTGGACAAGGGTGCAGTAGATTATAGAGGTTATGTAGGTTACATATTATTATAACATTGTAATTGCTTTAACTCCAAAGAAAAATTTGTTCATAAGTCATAACAATCATAGCAACATGTTCAAATGATGCTAGCTGTTTTCTTTTTACCGAAAACCCTCCAAAAAACAACAAATAATTCTAATCGCCTTAAGCACACACAGACCCGCCCGCTGGCCTCAGTCGTTTTTGTGGTATTCACTGAGTTTCAATTTTACTGTAATAAATTAACTTGTTTCTATTTTCAGTATTTAACCATAATTATTAATTAGTTAATAATACGTTTGATATTTATATAAATAGTACATGATTATATTATAAATGTCTTTGTTTATTAAAAACTAAATTAATTTAAGAAATAAAGACTTTTTCACTATACTCACTAATAATATATAATTTACCCCGTTTGTCGGAAACATTAGGTATTATCAACACCACAGTAATTTCGTGTGTTTTAATGTATATGTTACCGGAAATGTTCACATTTAGGAAATGATGACAATTTCTAATAAAGGAAGGAAACTATAACATTGCCTAGTACATGCTATCATTTCCTAACGATATCTGGGAATGATAGCCACATATTACACTCGGTAAAATAGTTTTACTAAAATAACATATTTGCGAAAAGTAGATAAATTATTTAAATATAATATGAAAAACAACCAGTTTAATTTTTTTTGGGATATTTTAATTTAATTTATGCAGCTTCCATATTATTTTCATACAGTTTTTTTTTTTGTTTTATCATTTTGAATAACCTATAATAATACACAATAATTTAAAACAATAATATAAATCATTACAATTTGACAAGACAACATTTCAAGACAGTTATACTCATACCTATTTTACTCATACCTCATACCTCATTACTAATTTTTATATTATGAGTAATTATGAAGTAATTCAATCTACAATCAGTTCATAACTATATTTATGTTTTTTATAAAACAACTGTTTTTTAAATGTAGTATTATAATATTATGTATTAAAAGTTAAATTGTAATATTTTTAATTATTTAATTTGTATTAATAATGATTATTAATTATTATTATTACATCTTATATAGTATAATATAATAAACATATTTTATAAATAAAAATACTGTGGTGTCAGTATGTAAGACTCCAGGTGCTAATCTGTGGGTGTAAAATACCCTACATTCAGCTAAATATTCACGAGTAGTCGATACGGGATTTTTTTCTCCATATTTTCTATTTTAATTTCGAAGAGAATAACTGATGCATGATAACATCGCCCGATAAACCATACGGAAATGCTCTCAATTCCTAGACAAAGGCATCATTATTTCTTTTCTTTATTAGGAACTGTCATAATTTCCGGTAACCGCATGTACATTTTTTTTTAATTCGTCCACCGACTCGATCGGACTCGATGGGTCTTAGATTGCAGAGGCTCAAGGACGATAAAATACATCTTCGGAGATACTATTCGTGTGTAAGTATACATAGGACGCATATAGGTACATTATAATATCGTATTAAACGTATTTGCTCTAGGAAAATCTCATGGCTATATTATTATATAACATATTGGAGGTAAATTAAATCGTTCTAGCCGCTGCACCGGCGTCGCGTGAATATTTTCCAGTAGATTTTCTTTTTTTTTTATTATTCCGGTTCGCTCCGGGTCTTTTTTTACGATATTATATAATATTCGCTATTTATATAAATACATATATATATACATATAAATATATAAGTATACAGATATAGCGGTGCGTATAACACAAGGGCGAAACCATTTATACTACTGCAGTATAACAATAATAATAATAATAATAACGTTATATACATGGCGGCGTATTTTCGTGATATTTTGTGTACGTACATAGATATACACGAGGAGAATAAAATATGTGTATAAAACCCAATCCTCTGGTGGTGGTGGTGGTCGGTGGGTGAATGGGTGGGGAGGGGGCTGTTCGTGTAATATCCTAGGCAAATCTTACACTGGAGAAAAAAAAACATACCAGGTAGATACCTACGCTTTAGGTATGTACCGCGGTATGTGCGCAGATAATGCTCCTCTGCAGAAGCATCATATATAATATAAGTGCGTATTTTATGTGGTACGACGGTCGTAAAAAAAGTTTCGGTTCAAAAACAATAATAATGATTGTTGACAGCGTTTGGGTACATTTCGACGGTCCAATTACGGTAATGTTTTATTGCTTATACACGTATTGTTGTTATTATTATTAATTATTATTTATTATTAATGTATATGACATCGCTCGGGGCCGACCGTACAACAATAATGATTCGAATATCATGTTAATCAAATCAGGAAAATTCGACGGACGAAAGTGGTTGTATGATAATACATACATGTAATAGTTATTGTGTTAAAAACCACCGACCACCGATATGAATGCATATTATTATATAACTTAATTTGTTCGTCGGATTGACAAAACGTGAAAAATCGTCGATTTCAATTATTTTAAATTATGTCAGCATATGCTGCTGCAGATTATTAGGTACTTTGTACTTAATATATACTATTTTATTTAAATTTTCACCGAATAATTTTACCTCGACGAATCGACCGATATTATATTATATCTATAGCGGACGGATTGAACATTTTATGCGTTTTTAGATTTGTTGGCATAAAACTAATACCGTCGTACTTATACTGTTTTCGTGAAGATTCTAAACTATACGAATATAGCCTTTGAACTGATCAAAATAACGTTTTTAAGAACGTATGATTTGTAATATTATTTTAATAGGTAGTAGAAACTAATACAATTATATTTTTTGGCCTTGATAAAATATGATAATTGTAATTTTGACTTTATTACCTATGCAGTGTAAACTGTATACATCTTCTATACTGTAAAACAACGTATTCAAGTCCTCATATGCAGCTTATCGCAGTGTTTGAAATTATTTTTAGCAGGTAAGCTGCAAGTATTCATATACGATGGGACATAATGGATATATAGACTCGCTGCAGTTACATATATTGTATGCAAATTGCTCGTTTGTTGACTTTGGAATTATTAGCTTGGAAAAAAATTGAAAATTTACGGTGGCTGACCCACGACTCCTTAAACCCTTTTGGGTCCATTGTTTCTGATACGTCCGAATTATGGTGAATAAATTACGAGGAGCAAATATATTTTTTTTACTCTGCGTTACATGAACGTTTGGTTAGAGGTTTAGGTTAAAGGTCCCTATATATCCTTTATAATATACTGGCATATATTTTAGAGATCAGTGAAACGAGTCGAAGAGAATATAAGCGCATTGAATATTTGCTAAAACGTCAAGAAATAAAATTTCAGGTAATACTCGACGAAATTAAATTGTCGAGGGACTATATAATATTATACTATAACAACTATTGTAACACTATATTTTAAATGCCTTTTATCTTTTAGCAACTTTAGGTTTCTAAGTTTGACAGTAACAAAACTTTTTAACTAGAATATTCGTATATGAAAATGTTGACGCGTAAAAATGTAAAATATATTTTATACAACACTACCTATATACATCATTTAAGACCATCCAAAGTTTAGACGAGTTGAACTCGAGGTAGTAGCAACTCTTTGACAAATTTTGAAAAAATTATTTTTACGGGTTAAATCATTTACATCACTAACAGGTTTTTCCGCTATCACTACAAGTTCGCATAAGATTACCGTGGTAATGTTTGGCAAAAACTAACTCGGCTATCGTGCAGACTGCAGGTAGGTACTCGAACGTTTCTATTTTCGAAGAAATAACAAACATTTTCGATTATAAAGAAAACTATTTAGTAATATAATAATAATATAATATCACTCGAGGCCACTTTGTTGACGACGACGGCGAGGCGGGGTTCGTTAATCCGGCCAGCTCGCGAAATATTGTTATTATCGCTCATATAATAGTTATATCTAGTCACGATTAAAGATATACAGGTTGCACATCGACTACTGATAAGGTGAAATACGAAATGACTACCAATAATTAACCAGTGGCGCTCCAAGCGGCAGTATTACAATTAACCAATTATAGATATATAGGTGTAAAATTAGTTCTAAATGTCGACACATAGGGTTGAGTGTTGACATTAAGCGCCACTAGTTAATTATTAACAGCTGATTTTTATAGTCACTTTGTAAATCAGTCTGGAAGCTCTTTACTATAGGGCGATGTGCAACCTGTATATCTTTAATCGTGTATCTAGTAGAGAATATATTATACACAGCAGAATACCTACGTGTATTATAAATTATAATAATATAGTGTCATCGCACATGGCAAGCGAAGTCATCATAATAATACAGACAAACACTGCATTAGTTGTATAAAGTTTACTACCAAGACCACAATACCATATACCTACAGTCTGACGATGCGTTGAGGTGCACGCAAGTCAGATTCGTTATTTTATCGCGAAAAATGCATAATATTTGCATACACTATGCGAGGGCACCCGCGGGGTCGGCGGCTACAGACGGCCGATTGAAATTATTATTATTATTATCGTGTGTGTATGTACATATGCAATTATAGGCAGAAACGTTGAAATGCGCCTGCTGCAGTGCAGAAACGAAGAGAATTCGAGAGAAAATAATG